TCTCTCTCTCTCTCTCTCTCACGTCTCGTTTTCGTCGTCCGTTTGCGCGATCGGCGATTCCGTAGGTGATTCGGTTGGCCATTTGCCTACGGTAGCAGCAGGATCGATGGTCGAAGGTGGATCGGTAATAACGATCGGTCCGATCGGTTCGACCGTTTGTTCCTCGTTTCTTGTCCTATTTTTATCTTCCTTGTCCAGACTCTGGTCTACACTGTCTACGGGCTTCTCGATCGTTTCTGGCTTCATCGGAATCATCTGAGGTTTCGTCTCTGAAAGATCATCGTCGAGATCGTATTGTTGATCGAGCATCGGTGGTGTCAACTCGGTCGGCGGCACCATCGTTTTGATCTGACACTGACGACCCATGTAGCCGAGAGGACAGACACATCTGCAATCGAAATCGTATATCGAGATCGTCCTCGTTCGTCCGGGGATCGTCGGTCGGTGGATCAGTCAACTCACCTGTAATCGCCATCCTCTTTGGTCATGCTGACGCAAGTGGCGTTGTTGCGACAGATGGCTGGATACTCGTCGCAGTAAGTGAGCTTCTCGTTGCAGAGATCGCCAGCCCATCCGGGCTCGCATCGGCACTCCCACGGCCGTTTGCAGGACCCGCGAACGCAACCGGGATAAGGGACGCATTCGGTGCAGTTCGGACCTGTCCAACCCACGCGACACCTACACGTCCCCGGACGACGACAACCGCCGTGTTCTCGGCTGCATCCTTGCGAGCAGATCGCTGAACGCGCACCGTTCGATGACGAGAAATTATTTCGATTATATATATATATATATATATATATATTTATTTACATTATATTATATACATACACGTGCGTGCGTGCTTGCTCACGCTAGGACACACTTGCTACAACTTACGCGTTTGACAGAGAAGTCCCGTCCAGCCTGGCTCGCAACGACATTCCAGCGGACCCTGACACGTCCCGTGCACGCAACCTGGCAAAACGGCGCATTGCTTGCACTTTGCTCCCTGCCAACCCAATCGACACCTACGAACAATGAACGTGGATTCGTCTTGCGTCGTTGTTTTCGAAACAAATGGAAAGACGAAACATTGAATGATTCCCTTCTCGTCTCTCGATTCTTTTCTTTTTTCCTTTTTTCCAACCTTTGCAATTACAAACCCCGCTCCCTCCACCCCGTTTGCTCACCTGCATTCCCCCGGTTTTTCGCAGTATCCTTGGCTGGCCAGACAATCGGAGGCGCAGATCGGCTCCGAACAGAACATGCCCTTCCATCCAGGATCGCAGGAGCACTCGAAGCTCACGTTACAGCTACAAATGTGAAGATGACCGGCCGGTCAGCAAGCGTCTATCTATCGAGCGTAAGCTTTCTCGCGCGCGCGATCGATATTCAACGGACCGGAGAGGATTGGCGGACGTTTCGCGTTACACGTTACCGAGTAAAATCAGTGCCCGTGCCCGACCCGCCTCTCCGCTATTAAAACGAACAGATCGTTATTGGCACGATCGCGTTGCTTACACGCCTACTATTGGGCTGGGTTGGGTGATACCGATCGAGAAGATCGACGCGAAGAAAATTTACCTGCCATGCTGACATCCCGGAAGTGCGACGCACTTGTCGCACAGCTCGCCGTAAAAGCCCAATTTGCAGCGACATTCGTTGGGTCGACGGCAGTAACCCTGAAGAGGATCGCACCCCTTCCGACAGATCGGCACGTCGCACAAATCGCCGGTCCATCCTAGGTGGAAAAAAGAACAAAAAAAAAAAAAAAGAAAAAAGAGGGAAAGGCAAGCACCGGTTATCCACAAAGTGTGAATGTCGAGTCTCTACGTCACGTCCACGACGA